TTACAAGTTTCTGACCACTTATAAAATGTGTTCAATGTGCTGCCCATTGTGTTGGATTGTCAATGCAACCCTCTTCTCCCACTCTTCACACACTGATAGCAACACCGCAGGAGAAATGCCAGCACAGCCATCCAGTAGAACCAGTTTATCAGAAAAGACAAAGGATAAAGTAAAACAGCTATACTGCAGATACTCTGTTTTTGTATAAATGTGTTTCTAAGGCCATAAGGACAGAACCACAGACAGCCCACAAGAAGCAGAACAAAGGCAAGGAAAGTCTGAGAATCAAATACACAGGAAGGTGATTAGGAAAGTGAAGACAGCTGAGGACACAGCGGGGACAAATCAAGAGTAAGAGAGGGGGGAAGCAAAACTGAACATAGTGCACAAAAGACAGGAGCTACTAAAATAAAACAAGAGGCAGAGACAAAGACAGCTGACATAAAGAAAAGTAAACAAACAGACATGACTGACTTTACAGGGAGACACTAAAGGACGACACATAGGAAAGAGTTAAAGGAAACAGGAAGGGAAATCACTAAATATTGCACAATCAAGATATGAGTAGAAGAGAGATAAACGTCTTAGTACTTTTTAGGAGCACTTTAGGCAACTTATTTACCTCCAAATGTTTTTAGCAGCAAGCAACTGACAAACTATGGCAGTAGCATCTATGCTAATGCAATTTATCTTAACTGTTCTCCAAGTTAAGGTTTGCCTCTCCTCATTCAAAAACATAGTGTAGGTGTAATAGAATATCGTTGGCTATTGAGGATAATAAACATAAAACAAGACCAATCAGAGTAGTAAATGCAAATCTTTTGTGTCATTGTGATGTGACATAATCTCAAATAGAAAAAATAATGTTTTAAGGAGCTCAGACAAAGAAAGTGTTTACTGCATGACCCCCGCAATGTCTCCCATGACTAATATATTGCTTTAATATACACCAATAAGAACAATATAGAATATATGAATCAGGACTTCAAAACTTTACCTTACAGTTATGGGTTGCCGATCACTTTATTCCTACATTTATGTGTATCCATATCCATATCATTATATATATATATATATATTAGGGGTGCAACGATACAACAAAATTCACGGTTCGGTTCGGTTCGATACTTTGGTGTCACGGTTCGATATTTTTTCGATACAAA